GAGAAATAAAGTTAATATATTATGAGTTGGTAGATAGGGTTACAAAAAAATTTGGGCTGATCATGAAAAGGTTGGTAGTAGCTAAGGAAAAATAGAAGAAATGTTATGAATAGAAACATAAAACTATGGAATTCCAAGTATCTCTGACATTGATCATAATTCATATTAAAAATAACTGAGCCGTTGAACACGAAATGCTCGTTAAAAACACAGTGATCAGTCAGCCAGCTGTCGCGTCCGTGCTTACACCGTCACGTTGAGTGCCTGTCTCGGGCCAAGTGTACGCCTTCTTCATCGATTCGCCGAGCAGCTGACACCTCAACATGCTGCGGGTCGGATTGGGTCAACCGCGCAACCCATCGGATCCGGGTTAAAAAAACTGACCCGTAAGCAAAAAAAGGGGACAAGTTCATATTGAGTCAATTGGTGTTAGATTAGTTATGAGTTGGACCCGAAACCAACTCAAGACTTGATTTTGAAAGCCCTAGAGCCGCTTGATTCGATTATAAGCTTGTCACCTTTGGAAATCGTTTGGTTGTCGAATTTGTGCTTTGAAGCTTCTAAACGTGCTTTGGACCCTCAATTTGGGTCCATTTGGGCTCGAATTTAATTGAATTTGGTGTCATTGGATTCGTGTTTTAGAGATGTTTAGTTCAACCATAAATTTGGCGAAATTGAAGTTCAGATGGTCACGGAATTAATTTCAAAAGTTTCCTATTTAATTTTATCTCTAATTGTAAAGAATTTTTTTGACGATTTATGAAAAATAAAATAAAATAACAGATGCTTTACCACCCAAAAGTTTAGGCTTATATTATAGCTTAATCACAAGTGATTGACAAAGATTTACATCATGTTGACATTAAAAAAGTCACAAATATTAATTTTTCAATTTTTTATTTATTCACTTTATATTGACTAAAATAACATAAAATTCCCATTTTATTAATTTTTCAGCTTATTTGATAATCTTCCTAAAAATATTAAAACTGTATATATATCTGTGTGTATATATATATATACCAAAATTTTAATATTTACTTAAATATCATTTGAATATCTAAATTTCATCAAAAAATATGTTTAAAAATATATAAATTTGTTAAATAAATTAATATTAGAAATATTTTGATATGATTTAAAATATTATGTATTAAATATATAAATACAAAACAATTTTATAAATTTTAATAGACATATGTAAATTCCTAATTTTATTAACAAGATGATACTTTCATTAATATGTCATCAACTAAATATAATAAAAATATCATTTTGAGCTTTGATTTATAAAAAAAAATTATTTTATTCAAGATATATAGATATTAGATTCAATTTTAACTCCATACTAATTCCATTGATTTTTTTTTTCTAAATTGTATTATAATAATCATACATTAACACTTTTTATTTCTTCTCTGACATAATCTATCCAAACGGTAAAAACACGACAGAGCTTTACCCCCATTATCCTTGAAAATCCGGCTCCAGCGCCGACTTGAAAAAATAATTTTCTCGTTTTCAAGTGGGGGGCACCGGGTGTCCGCTGCGCTTCGTCCCCCTTAAAGCCATGAACGAACGTGAAGGTCTCCTTCCACGGAAGCAGCGCCAAGAACCGGTCGGAATGCGCCACCGCATATCCGTCTACTCTCCCCTTCCCCTGCCCTGCCTCCATCTTCTTTTCAAACGGCAAATCAAATAGCCCATTAATGGCGTTCATGGCCGCCGCGTAGATCTCGGCGTCTACTCCGTGGTTTATCACCTGAAAGAACCCGTGCTCACGGCACGCGGCTTCGACTTGCTTAGCTGCTCGGCGTGCGGCGGCTTCATCGCCGTGAAGGAAGCCGGATAGGTCAATGACGGGGACTTCGAGGTTGCCAACAGCGGCCTGACGGTCGATGGCCGGCCAAGCGAAAGCAAGAGGTATTTTGGGCTGCTTGATGAGGATGGAAGGGTTGTAGAGCCTCATTCTGGAGACTGTATCGTCGAGGACGAAATTGCGGGGGAGGCATTGGGTGGCGTCGCCGGAATCCATTGGTGGTTTTTGGTAAGATGTGAGAAAGGAAGAGGAGATTTCTTCTTATATAGCTTTTTTTATCAGAACGTAGAAAGTTAGAAATGGTCCTATTTTTGGATTTTTGTTAAGGATGTACGATCGTTAAACTTCGTTCATTTAATGGTTATAATGGATTTTTAGTTATTTTAATTATGGATTTTTTTAATTTTTTATAAATTAATTAAATTAAAAATCAAATTATTGTG